CCAACCTACTAGCGATGCACTCCAACCTACTAGCGATGGCCTCCAACTCCATTAAATTTGCTCCATTGTCCAAGAGGTGACTCTGAAGCTGCTTTTGTTTGTTGAAAGGACTGTCCATGTTTTGAAAGGACTGTCCATGTTTTTTGACTGCATGAAGGCAGAGAAATAGAGTGAAATTGGAACGTCATGCTGCCAATGGCTCTCAAAAAACTGGCATGCTGTTGCCTTCAATCAGGTCGATCCTGCTGCTTTTGTTTCAGGTGCCTGAGCTCTTTTTGAGCTACAGTGGCATGGGTGGCCGCATGCCAGATTTCTCCATCTACAGCCCCTCAAGCTTCAAACGCAGGTCCAGCGGAAAAACCAGCGTGGATGAGGAGACGAGCGATGGGTCATGGAGTCATGTTGCTGTAGTGGTTAAATAGACAAACACGATGTCTCAGGTGCAGTAGTACAGGACGGCAATCGTGAAGATTCACTGGACCTCACTCCGATGGCAGTCAAGCATTGAAGAGTTGTGAGGGCACCCTCAGGAGATGTCCATCACAAGTTCTGTTTCCAGTCTTTCGTACAATTAAGAATGAATTGCCCGCATAGCAGCAGAGTCGCTCTCATACCAAAAACATCTTGGACCTATTTGGGCTTGTCTAGAAATCATATTGTCAGAAGCCTCAAGGATGTTGGACAGATACGTTCATTCAGTGGTGTTTGGGATGTCTTCATTTTTGATTTCCTCAACCTGCTGTGTGGGCAAACTCAGCTCCAGGTCGACCACTCAGCTCCAGGTCAACCTGTACGTAGGCTCCGAAAAAGGTGATGCTCCAAGCTGTTGTCCACCAAGGCGATGAGATTCAGTTTGTGGATGAGAGGGCTCCTGGCTTGGTGCTGAAAGGCTTGCCAACGTAGCTTCTTCTGCAGATCCCTTCTGTCGCCCAGACCCAGGGAGTTTGGCCATTCTTTGCACCAGCCATGATGCCATGAGAGATTGGAAGCTGCAGAGGTTTCCCTCCCCCAACCCCACGGAACACCATGAAAAACATATCGAACCATTGCTAAGATCTGGAATCTGGAAGATATCTGGATGCTTGCTGTCCATGCAGCCTCAAACCACCCGAAACCAGAGAGAGAGAGAGAGAACACCGTTTGAAACGCACCGCGCGAACGAACGTCCGTTTTCCGTTGGGACCTCGGCCCCCAAGGTACAAGAGTTTTCTGTCAGCCCTACGGTGGTCCATGCGCTCCATGTTCGAGGAGAGGCTGCCGCGTGCGTTGCGCGTCCGGCGTGTTGGTTGGCGTCCTGCGCGCCGGGCTTGAGGGGGGTTCGAAGTGGTCGAGCTGGGTGGCCTCCATGTGAACCTGCCGTTCACATTTGGTTTGGTATTCTGCACCAACATGGTGTTCTTTATTGTTTAAATTAGTGGTGCTGCGCGCGCCAAGAGTGAAAGAACGAGCGTGCAGAAGTAAAGCGGACCAGGGTGGATTCGAACCACCAAAGTCTGTCAGCAAAGTCAACGCCTTTTCCGTTGGGCAGCTGGTCCAGCTGCGCCGCAACTTGCAACTTGTCCTTCAATGGTGTTACTGCGAAAGCTCGGAAGCTTTGTATATACCTTTAGCAAACCAGTTATCTTTCGCATCATATTTCAGTTTTTTGGTAACGCTCTATTAATTCTTGAAGTTTTGCATTCATAAATTTCTGCAACAATTCATGATTTTTTTCTTCCTTCCAAAGTGGATGTGCAACTTTTGGATTTAATAATATTTCTTTATTTTCTTCGACTAAAGTCTTAAAGTGTGACTAAAGCATCATATACAATCTGCTCAATCTCAGATTTATCTGCTTTCAAATAAAAAAGTTTGGCATCACTTCCTGAATTTTGAAATCAACAAAATTATCACCCACGCCGACGTTTATGTATTTACTCCACCTCCTTCAAAAAATAAGCATTGCCGCTTGGAAAACTGCTTTCCCCTACCCATGAGTGTTTCAGGGGGTTCTTTTTCTTTTGGGTCTTGTTGCAGGAGAGCAAGCTGGAGGTCATTTCCATGGGGCGCACCCTAGTGAATCTTGGGAGCCGGAACGGCCACGA